TCTTCCTCTTTTCCCTTAGCCCTTCCTTCCTCCCATTCTATCCTTTCTCATCCCATCCCATCCTTCCAAGCCCTTTCATGGCTAAAACCCCAAAGACAACAACTTATCAGAATAGGGGGTGGAAAGGCCTCTTTCTGTCCAGGAACCAATACAGGCATTGAGACCCAAATCACATCATTCCGGCAATGTCAATGCAGAAGCCAAAAAAGCTTTGCAAAAAAAAAAAAAAAAAGACAGCAGCAACACCAGAAACCAGGTAGGATGAGGCCATTCAGTCAAAAATAATAATAAAATTGGGTCTGGGAAAATGCTCTCAAATCTCTCCAGGGTTTGTGGGTACTTCTTGCTGGCCAGATATCCGAGCTCAACCGATCACGTGGCCGCGGTCAAGAAACCGGGGAAAATCGAATTCCAGGACCCATCAAGGCAGCGGGGTGGCGTTTTCCCAAACGAGGCGAAGCCCGGAGCCCACCGCAAAAGGCGAGGTCCTTCCTTGGTCCTGCTTCCTTGAGAAATGTTCCTCTTTTAAACAGGGTTTTTTGGGTTTTTTTTGTGTGCGAAAGAGAGAGCAAGCCAAAGAACGAAGCACGGGAGATTGATTCAAGTCACAGGTTTTACTGTGGTGCAAATCTGCTTAGCTCCATAGAGAGAGAAAGAGGCTTCCATCTTACCGGGCCATTTGTTCATTCATTCAAAGAAAGCTGTGCAACGCCCCCTTGTTCCCCCCCCCCAATATTCCTCACCCCTCCCCAGGCTGGCTGCACAGGAGCCAGGAGCCAGGAAGGGGGGCAGGACTGAAAACTTTTGCAAGACAAAAGCGATCCAGAGAGACGTCCGCTGGTCTATCCCACCCGCCCACCCGACCCCTTACAAAAATAGAAATTCTCCGTTCCGCTCGTTCATATCCTTGCAAAAAAGGACCATTTTCTTGCTTTCCTTAGGAAGGACCAGCCAAAAACATGACGGGTGTGCCACGCACTCAGGTGTGCGCAGACACACACACACACACACAAGCTCATGTCCAGCCTAGGGAAGGGGAAAAATCGAAAGGACAAAAATATGGTGTAGAAAAAAACTCTACCCTTGTCAAAGTGAAGAGAAATTCTCAAAGCTAAGAACCAACTCGGTTTTTAAACAGTGCCTCTCTCTCTCTCTCACACACACACACACACTCTCCTCTCTCTCTTTCCCCCCAAATGAGACAGAGGCCTTCGTCCTCCAACCCTGGTTTTTGGCTCACGCTCCGTCCGGTCTGAAACCATGGGCAGCTGCTAGCCTGGTGCAACAGGGTTAAGTCTTGCGCGCTCTCCGCTATTATAGAAGACACGGCTGTTTCCTCTGCATGGCGTAAGCCAGGGTTAAACCATGGCCTGTTGTCCCCACCACTGAAAGTCCTGCGGAACTGGTCGTATCAGCGTTTGGCGGGCCCGAGTTAAGACATCTGGCTTTTTTCTTCTTTAGGCCACCGCTGATTTCTGATTGCTGCCACGAGGAGGAGGAGGAGGAGGGGGAAGGGGGGGGCTTGGGTCTTCTTAAATCCATTGTTGTTGTTTTTTCCATTTTATTTGGGGCAGTGGGGGAAAGAGAAGGGGTGGGGGGAGAAAAAAAGTCCATCAGGTCAGCGCAGGGAGCACAGCTCGTTCAATGAGAGGCAGGAGGAGGCAGTTCTAGTTTTTGAAGTCGGCGTCTCCGCAGCTCAGCTGCGTTGGGCTCTTCCGGGGAGGAGGGGTCCCCGTCGTGGCTGGAGGGCTGCGTGGATCCCTCTGCTTTGTCTGGGGACGTATCTGGAGATGCCAAAGGGAGAACGATAATTGGACAAAGGAGTTGACTTTTTTTTTTAAAAAAAATCGTTTTTATTATACATTTTCATTTGTATAACACAGAGGTTTCCAAACTGGGCAACTTTAGGACTTGTGGACTTCAAGTCCCAGAATTCTCCAGCCAGCCATGGTGAGAATCGAACTTCCTGGCTGTGGGCAGAGTTAGCCTGCAAGGCTGCATTTTAACCGCTGTCAGGGTGGGCAACAGCAATAACATTTAGATTATACACCGCTTCACGGTGCTTTCCAGCCCTCTCTTAAGCGGTTCACAGAGCCAGCCTCTGGCCCCCAACAATCTGGGTCCTCATTTTACCGACCTCAAAGGACGGGAGGCTGAGTCAACCTGGAGCCTGGTGGGATTTGAACTGCCAAATTGTAGGCAGCCGGCACTCAGCAGAAGGAGCCTGCAAGTACTGCGCTCTAACCACTGGGCCACTGCGGCTCATTAACTGAACAACTGCACTCGTTCCCTTAAGAGGTGTGGCCAGAAAGGCCGTAAAATGAGGCAAAACTCACTTAACAACCATCTTGCTTATCAACTGGGGGCTCAATACTGGTCGCAAATTGAGGACTCCCTGTACTGGGAAAAACACTGGGGCCTCCAGGCCAGACCCCTCCCTCTTCAAGCCCCCCCCCTTGCCTGAGTTTACCTGGTGAAGAGGTGCTGTCCGCCGGCTGGGAGGTGGAGGTGGTGGCTTCACTGGAATTCGATTCAGGGCTAGTCGGGGTCTCAGGAGGGGCCATTGGAGGGGCCGAAGCACTAGGGGGCGCTGGAGCAGCTCGAGGCATCCTGGACAAGAGACACGGCAACCCAGTTTGGCGGGTGGGGGGAGGGATTTGTTACCATCCAGAATCACACAAGTGTGATGGGCAGAATAAGAATTTAAGGAGGGTGGAAAGGAAGGGAGGGAGGGAGGGAGGGAGGGAAGGAAGGAAGATTGGAGGGGAGAAGAAGGGAAGGAAAGTAAAAAAGAAAAAGAGAGAGAAAGGAAGGAGGGAGGGAAGAAATAGGGGAAGGGAGAGGGAAAACAAAGAGACAAAGGAAGAGGGAAGGGAAAGGAAGGAAGGAGGGAGGGAGGGGAGAAAGAGGGGAGGGGAGAGGGAAAACAGAGACAAAGGGAGGGGGAAGGAAGAGAAGGAAGAGAAGGAAGGAAGGAAGGAAGGAGGGAAGGAAGGGAAAAAGGGGAGGGGAGAGGGGAGAGGGGGGGAAAGGGGGAGGAGGCTCACCCAATCGTAGACAGCACAGTGAGATACTGGTTGATCTGGAGCATGGCCGCGTCCAGGAGGGTGTGGATGTTCTGCAGGCACTGCAGCCGGGCCTCCAAGTGTTGCCGTTCGTGGCCTTCCATGGCCCGCAGCTCCTCTTCCGTCAGCCCGGAAAACCCCGAGGGGGGAACGGGCATCGGAGGGAACCCTAAAGCGGGGAGAGTGGGAGGGGTAGACATGGGAGAAGAGGACTCGCCCCCCCAAACCCCACTCCACCCACCCAAAAAAGAACCGGCCCCTCCCTCCCCGGGAGGGCAGCGGAAACCGGGCGATCGGTAGCCGCCCCCGTCATAATCAACGGGGTGGGAAGCCCCGCCCAGGCCCTCTGGAACGTACCAAAGAGAGGGGGGAACGGCATCCCCATCCAAGGGGGAGGGAAGGGGAAACCCGGCACGGTCCCTGCGGTGGTGGCGGTGTCCGACGTGCTGGCCGAATCCCCCGTGGGCCTGGCGGTGCCTGTCGAGGAGGAAACGCGGCCCCCGTTAAGACCCCTCCTTTGGTGGCTCACCAGTGGAACAGCCAACTGTGGGGGCGGGGGGGGGTTTTCCTCACCTGCCCCTTGGGATCCTGGCGGGGGCCCCGCGGAGGCACCGTCGGCATTGTTGGGGGGCTGGACGCCCGGCACCGGAGGAAAGGGAGCCATGGGGGGCCACAAAGGGAACATCCCGGGAGGAAACGGAGGCAGGAGGCCTTGGGGGACTGCAGAGAAGAAGGGCATCAGCGCGGCTTCCTGACACAGGGCTGGCCAAACAATGGGCCCTTTTGTGACTTGTGGGCTTCTGCTCCCAGAATTCCTGAGCCAGCCCTGTGCAAGCTGCCTCGGGGATTCTGGGAGCTGAAGTACACAAGTCATTAAAGGGGCCATCGCTCCCCACCGGGGGGGGGGGGGGTGTTCCAAGCCAGCAAGAATTTTCAATTGACCATTATTTAAAATGCTCTTTTGCCTTTTGATTCAGGGAAGCTTAAGCATAACCTGCGCGACAGTCAAAGACAAATGCAAGCGGGAAAAATGAAGATCTGGGCTACAGGCGGCGAGTTCTAGTCTCAGACTAGAGATGAAAGGCACTTGGCTGACTGGGGGCCGTTCACCAGGAGACAGAGAGTTCTAGTCCCGCCTTAGGCATGATAGCCAACTGGGTGACTTTGGGCCAATTACCAGGAGACGGTGAGTTCTAGTCCTGCCTTGGGCTGGGTGACTTTGGGCCAGTCCCTCTGTCTCACCCCCAGCCTACCCCACAGAGTTGTTGTAGGGAACGGGCCGTGAAATGGGGAGAGTTGAAGCCCCACCCCACCCCCACCCCCCAGGAAGAGATCAAAGACGAGGAAGATTCATCCGCGTAGCAGCAGCTCACAGAGCGGGACTCACAGTTGGGCGCCTGAGGCATCAAGGGGGCCTGGTGGGGGGGCGGATGCTGCCCTCCTTCCGGCTGCTCGGGGGGCGGCTGCGACTGGGTGGGCAGGGAGGCGCGCAGGACGTCCATCCGGCAGGTGGGGCAGGTCTGCTGGCGCTGAAACCAGGATCGGAGGCAGCTGAAGAAGAGGAGAACCCCTGGCCGTTCTAATGGGTGACTTCAAAACTGCCTCCCAGGTTCTCTCTCTCTCTCTTTCTTTCTCTCTTTTTCTCTCCTCCTCTCTCCTTCTCCTCCTTTCTCCTTTTCTCTCCCTCCCCATCCCTATCTCTCCTCTCCTTTTCTCTTTCTCTTCTCCTTTTCTCTCCTTTCTCATTCTTTCTCCTTTTCTCTCTCTCCCATATTCTATTTCTTTTCTCTCCTCTCTCTCCCTCCTCCCATCTCTTTTTCTCTCTTTTTCTTTTTCCTTTTCTCTCATATTGTTTCCTTTTCTCTCGCCTCTCCTCTCCTCTCCCTCCCCGTCCCTCTCTCCTCTCCTCTCCTTCTCCTTTTCTCTCTCATATTCTATTTCCTTTTCTTTTTCTCTCTCCTCTCCCTCGCCATCCCTCTTTTTCTCTTTTGCTCCTTTTCTCTCCTCGTTCTCCCTTTCTCTCTCTCCTTTTCTCTCCTCTCTCATTCTCCTTTCTCCTTTTCTCTCTCTCATATTCTATCCCCTTCTCTTTTTCTCTCTCTTCTCCTCTCCCTCCCTTCCTCCCCCTATTTCTCCTTTTCTCTCTCTCCCTCCCTCCTCCCTCCCTCTTCTTTCTCTCCCTCCCTCCTCTCTCTCTCACACACTCCTGCAGACTACTCAAGCTTCCAAGTGCACCCAGATTCCCTCGGGTTTTCTATTTAAGAAAACAAAACGAAACAAAAACACTCCCCGCCTCCCACCTGGTATGGAATATGTGATTGCACGGCAGACGTTTCGCACCCATCACCATCTCTTCCCGGCAGATGATGCATACATTGTCCATGGCCTGCAGTTCTTCTGGGGTGGCATCGGGGTACCTGAGGAGAATAAGGCCAGAGACCCCTGAGTTCCTCCCCTTCTCCCAAGCACGGCCCAAAGCCGACGTGGTGGAGGGCAGAAAGGCCGCTGGGAACGTTTTGGATAGATGTGTTTGTGTGTGGAGTTCAACTAGGAAACAGATCAATGTTAATGTAAAAATCTTGCTGCCTTTGTGTTCCAGTGGTGCTTTTTCAAAAAGAAACTGGACTCCCTTTGTTTTTCCTTTAAGACATTTCGCTTCTCATCCAAGAAGCTTCTTCAGTTCCGACTGAAGGATGATGAAAGGATTTATATTCCTTGCAATCCTCCGGTCATCGGAACTCTTTCTGAGAATTGGTAAGGCCACTCGGGAGGTTTATCTGGGCCCCCAGGATCAAACAGGTGTGGAACCTTCCTGGAACTGCTGAAAGGACTGGGCTGTAGGCAGGAGAATGACTCTCAGGAAGAGCAGCAACGACCAGAGGGCCGCAAGGAATGTAAATCCTTCTATCCCCTGCCATTCAGTCAGAACCAAAGAAGCTTCTTGGATGAGAAGCGAAATGTCTTCAAAGAAAAAACAAAGTCCACTGTTGCCTTTTTTGGGGGAAACAATATTTGGGACAACTATGACCTGCATGACTGAGAACCTCCATAAACATTTGCTGCCTATATATTTAGGCCCTGGGGCTGTTAATGTATACATAAGGATCTTCCTTATGGAATAAGGATCACCCTTTAACACCCATCGCCTCCCAGTTGTGACTGCATGACTGTAACTTTGTCGCTTGTATCCTTACGATTTTTAGTGACTGTTTCCTAGTAATGATTTGATTGCTTATTGTACCCTATGACTATCATTAAGTTTTGTCCCTTATGATTCTTGACTCTTGACGAATGTCTCTTTTCTTTTTATGTACATTGAGAGCATTTGCACCAAGACAAATTCCTTGTGCGTCCAATCACACTTGGCCAATTAAGAATCCTATTCTATTCTATTCTCTATTCCATTCCATTCCATTCCTTCATTCCAAATTCTATTCTATTCTATTCCTATTCTATTCTATTCTATTCTACTCTACTCTATTCCTATTCCATTCTATTCTGCATTCTATCTGT